TTTAAATATGTTTAAATAAATTATTTACGGTGAATATGGAATTTCAGATGGTAGGTGAAGCTTTTTCAGGTATTAAAATGTAAATTCGTTGAGAACAGTTGGTTGGTAGGTGTATATGACATTATTTCGTCTGGTCATCTTCTAGGAATAGCTGGAAGGTCTATATATAGGTAGACGACTCACGTGGTAAGTCTTTTGAGACAATAGGAGGATATAAATAACATTATATTTCATTAAATTCAAAATAAACGACTCTGTCTGTTATATTTTTACTTTTTACAATATTTCGACTTTATTCTAGCCAACCTAAGATTTAGAAATTCAATTATAAGCGTTAAGACTTCTCCTGGAGCAGATGTTTCCTCAGACCATAACTTCCTTGTCTCAAAAATGAAATTGAGGGTAAAAAAGATAATAACATACAAAAGTTCTAAGGTGAATACTCAGTTACTCAAAATAAATGAAATCCGTGCTGAGGCTTCAACTTGAAGAGAAACTCGACAGTTCGCCAAAATAAGACAAATTTCTTAATCAGCTCTTTTTTGCGACTGACAGTATCTTTTCGCTCTTATTTGTAAGCATTTGGTGCATTATAATTGTAGAAACAATTATAATGTTCCAAACAATGGCCTGAAGACTGGACAAAATCTACAATAACGACCATACATAAAAAAGGCAGCTTCCGTAAATGCGACAATTATAGAACTATCTCAATCAATGAGAGACTGAAAACATTCTAACAAAGAGAAATTCCACAAGAGCAAACTGGATTTACCAAAGGTAGAGGCACTCGAGAACACCTGCTGAATATAAGACAGATAATCGAGAAATCTAGGGAATTCAACATCCCACTATACATCTGTTTTATAGATTACCGTAAAGCGTTCGACAGGGTCAAGTGGAGACACTTATGGCGAATACTAAAAGAAGTAGGCGTACCACAACATCTAATTACGCTTATAACTGAACTATATGAACACACTACTGGATCAGTTAAAGTACTTGACACACTTTCGAACGAGTTTCATCCAGAACGGGGTGTCAGACAAGGATGTATACTATCTCCACAATTATTCAACATATATGGAGAGTATATTATGCGAAGAGCACTTGAAAGATGGGAAAAGGGCATCTCAATAAATGGTCATAAACTAAACAACCTACGTTTCGCAGATGACACAGCCCTTCTTGCAAATAGTCAAGCAGAGCTGATGGAACTTATACGACTGATCAAAAACGAAAGTCAAATATTTGGTCTGCAATTAAACATATCAAAGACAAAGATCATGATAGTGGATAGACTACACAACAATCATCCACACATAACCACAATTGACCGTTTCGAGGTTGTGAGCTCATACTTATATCTGGGATCATTAATCACAAACACAGGGTCATTACAAGAAGAGATTAAACGTAGATGTGATCTAGCAAAAGTTGCCACAGCAAAAATGACCAAAATATGGAAGGAATGTCAAATTTCAAGAGCGATAAAGATGAGGTTGATCAACTGCTTAATATTCCCAATACTGACCTACGGATGTGAATCTTGGACTCTGAGACAATCGGAGAGAAGAAAGATAGACGCCACTGAAATGTTTTGTTGGAGACGAATGTTACGAATTCCTTGGACCGACTGTAGAACAAATAATTCAATTTTAAGAGAGCTAAAAGTTAGCCAACGACTCTCTAGTAAAGTCCATCTCCAACAATTAAAATATTTTGGGCATGTTATGAGAGCAAACACAGAAAACATGGAAAGACTTATAATACAAGGAAATGTAGAAGGCCGAAGATCACGAGGAAGATCCCCAATAAGACGGATAGATTAAATTACAGGAATATGCCAAAGACCTATGCATGAATTAAAAGAAATGACCAGAGACAGAAATCTCTGGAGACGGACAATACACGACATCACGTCGACCACTACACTCCCCCTGGGGGGTCAGGATTGAAGAGAGAGAGAGAGAATTGTAGAAACAACTTCCGATATTTATTAATTTATGCAATAAATGCAAAATAAGTCTCTTGCACGTTATATATTCAAAATATGAAGGATATAGGATTCATATGGTTTTAAAGAGTTTTTTTAATAAAATAAAACATTCTCAATTTACATTTATTTCATACTTTATACATTATCCTGTACAAAATTATTTAAAGACATTTTCGTTGATTTTCATTTTATTGGCACATAGAATTTGACTAGTATATATATAGAGCCTTGCGTCATACCCTTAAATTCGATAAAATTATTGTATTGGTCAAAAACTATACAACTATATGATACAGTTATCTTAGACGTATTTACATTAAAATATTTTGTTTTTGATATGAATATCTTTCCATTGCACATTTATATTTTAAAAAGGTACTTAAGATGATACCGAAAATGAACCGGCAGTGGAATCAAATTTGGTTTTTTCTGTAGTTTTGATGGTGACTGTGAGGAGTGTTGTATACCTTCGGGTTAAAATTTAAATATATTTATAAAACAGTATACAATGTAATAAGTGTGATATAACTCTGAGGACAAGGTTTTAATGGTGCCTAGAATAGTCTAGACGGGATCTGTTTTGGATTAGAAATGTTCCATAGGAAGCTATTTTTTTGCCGAAACCCCTTCAGGATGTGCCCAATCTCGATAATCACGATATGCGCCAGTCGCAAACCCTGTGCTAAATTTTTTATTTAACAAATTCTGAAAACAATTGAAAATTTCTCATTTTTTTGCTCCTATTTTCGTTTATAATTCGGAAAATATTGATCCTAGAAAAAAAATTATAAGAAGTTAAAAGTTTCGTTATTCAATTTTACACTATATTTCGTTAGCTAGAAATTGAAAATTTAATGATTATTGTTGAAAAACAGCAATAATTGGAAAAAAATGTACAAAAAAATGAAGTTAATCCTTTAAATATTTTCGACTTTTTAAACTTGACTTACAAGCTCCATATTCCGCCTAGAAAAACTTTTTAATATGTTTAAAACGTATGCTAAATTTTGTTAAGATCGGTCAGATAGGTTTTGCATAATAAATTTGCAATCCAGCCTACTGGAAAAAAATCGCAAATTTTCAAATTTATAGTAGGCCCTAAATAAGGCCCTCAGATAGTTGCAAATTTTTTTACATATAAAGGAAGGCTCAAACTTTCAAACGCTTTGGTAAAACTCAAATAGGCTTACTAGGAGAGCCTAGAAAATGTTTAAAGTTTTAAACATTTTTTAGGCGTATAAACAAATTGAATAACTTTACGAGCTTTAAACATATCAATTTCAAAATTAATACACTTAAAGAACATTAAAAGACGCTTGTTTTTTAAAAAAAAAGATACATTCGGTTTACTGGTTGCCGAGATATTGAAGGTCAAAGTTGGAAATTCTTGAGAGGGCTATGACTGTAAAGGTAAAATGATGGTTCACTTGACATGAAGCCACTTTTGGTGGAATTGAAATGGAACTCATTGGCCATGCTGACTTAATGTTTTAAAATCTTTATACGAGAAGTTTAAATTTAAGGAAAATATATATACGTTTGAGCTGAGACTATGTCGAATGAAGAAAAGCGTGGTATTGACAGAAGGATCTTCCAATGGTGGCATATTTCCAGAATAAGCTATGAACAGAGACCAGTGTGCTGTTGTGATTGGAGAAGTATATCACTTAAATTGAATAGCATACCTGTAAGTAAAAATACACTGGCCATAAATACCATAAATAACACCGGCGATCTTTTGCATGCCGCAAAAGACAGGCACTATAAGAAGAAAAAGTAAAAATAAGACATCTGTCGGAATTAAATCCTGAATTGATTTTTAGTAAAACAAGTGATCCAAGAACTTAATTTTCCCAAAAAATAGCTCCTTTAATTTTGTCTCTCCCGAATTGAATTCACGTTTGAAATCTTATATCAAAAAAATTAAAGAATACAGACAAAAGGATGTGGTACTGGTTGCATACCCTTTAGAACTTTCAAGAATAAAAAACTAAGAACAAATTCAATAGTTTTAGTTGTGATTAGAGAAGTAGGTGATGTAAACTGTGTGGCATTCTTGAAAGTAACAATATTTTATTGTTTGGAACTGAATCTGAAGGAAGAAAAGTGCGGCATAGACAGAAGGATGTTGTACTGGTTGCATAACTTCAGAGACTAGAGCTTTCATAAATAATTAAGCCAAACCCAGTATGATGTACCGTTTGATTGGAGGTAAATTGGGTGGTATACCTATAAGTAAAAATAAGACATGCCACCGAATTTAATGCTGAAATAATTTGTCTCAATGTCTCATAAGTTGTGATAATGAGGTAACAGTGACGTAAAACCACATATACTTCATCTAATTTAGATAACGACTTACCTCATTATCTACGTCAGAGATCGAAGTTGACATAGTTGCCAAAGTATAAATGTTAAATCAAATAGATTACATAATTATTGCAAAAGCATTACCATCTCTTTACAACGACTATACACAGCAAATGTCAAATAAGTGTTACCAATTTATACCAAAATTTTTACCTTCGTTCGATTACCGTTACAGTATGTTCCGAACAAATGTTCTTGATAAAAACGCTTTATAATGCATTTATACAAATTAAATGAAACATATTATTGTGTATTTCCTCAAGTTAACATTAATAGAAATTTTAAAATATGATTTTCTACGCGTATATAATAAAATATGTCTAGTGGCTGTAATGTCAGTGTACTCGGTAAAGTGATTCTAAAAAAGAACACACCTACACCCTAAATATTTTGTTGGTATCATGTAACGTCACAGGCTATGACGCCGATGACGTGCATCGTTATATAAATTAGATGATGTGTAACATTGCAGGTCCCTCACTTTTTAACAATTAGAAAAAAAAAAACTAAATTTGATTCCGCTTGCGGTTGGAAATAAACTAGTAAGACTGATTTAGGCTTAAAAGGACAACAGCAGTGAGATCCTGGAAGTTTAAAAATATTTGCCAATCTTCTTGACCTTAATGGTATTTCATTTTCGATCCCAACTACTGTTGTACAACCACGAAGACTCGTCTCGGGATTTGCTCCAACTTGATTCCAAACTGTTCTCCTGGAAACATAACATGAGTTAGTATTGATTATTTATTTTATGTACACACACATAAAGACACAGAAAAATGACTAATATGATAAATGATGATAAAAGACAACAATACGTACTGCAAATTGAGAGTGATTCATCGGCGCTGAACTCAGATACTCCATGTTGGAATAGTAGGAGTAATTATTGTAGCAGTTCGTCGAGGAGTTGGTGGTACTTAGTACTGAAGGTTGCGTCGACGTACACCATCTATGTTGGTCTATCGAAAACGAATCTATCGACGCCGGAGACCAGATGCTTGAGTTCGCTGAATTTGTGTAGGTCGAACTTGCTATCTGCAAATATATGAATTCTACCATAAATAATATATTTTAATGAATGCGAGGAAGTTTATCGCATGTAATTCATTGTCAAAATGTTCATTCGCAAGAATTCAATGACTAAAAAGTTGAAGAAAAACATTCTATAAAGTTCAAGAGACTTTAGTTCCCATAACAACTGTTTATTGTGAACAATTCATCGATAAAATAGTTTACAGAACTAAACAGGCACATTTTATGAAGTTCAAGAGACATTACTGTCCCAAGAACTGTTCATTGTGAACAATGCATCGATAAAATTGTTCACAGAACTATAATTCAACTATAATTCTAGAGTTAACATATTCCAGCAAGTTCAACAGACTTTAGTTTCACAAAAAACTGTTCATTGTGAACAGTTCATCCATAACATTGTTCGCAGAACTGTAATTCATCTAAAGGTAAATTTGAAATTCGAAATATATCAATTTTACAGCCAATAGTGTAAGTTGACACATTCTATGAAGTTCAGGACACTTTAGTTCCCTTAACAACTGTTTATTGTGAACAATTCATCGATAAAATAGTTTACAGAAGTGAACAGACACATTTTATGAAGTTCAAGAGACATTACTGTCCCAAGAACTGTTCATTGCGAACAATACATCGATAAAATTTTTCACAGAATTATAATTCATCCAAAGCTGAATTTGAAATTTAAAATATACAAATTTTACAGTCAATAGTGTGAGTTAACATATTCTAGCAAGCTCAAAAGACTTTAGTTCCACAAAAAACTGTTCATTGTAAACAATTCATCCATAACATTGTTCGCAGAACTGTAATTCATATATAGATAAATTTGAAATTCAAAATATATCAATTTTACAGCCAATAGTGTAAGTTGACACATTCTATGAAGTTCAGGTTACTTTAGTTCCCTTAACAACTGTTTATTGTGAACAATTCATCGATAAAATAGTTTACAGAACTGAACAGACACATTTTATGAAGTTCAAGAGACATTACTGTCCCAAGAACTGTTCATTGCGATCAATGCATCGATAAAATTATTCACAGAATTATAATTCATCCAAAGCTAAATTTGAAATTTAAAATATACAAATTTTACAGTCAATAGCGTGAGTTAACATATTCTAGCAAGCTCAAAAGACTTTAGTTCCACAAAAAAACTTTTCATTGTGAACAATTCATCCATAACATTGTTCGCAGAACTGTAATTCATCTAAAGGTAAATTTGAAATTAAAATATATCAATTTTACAGCCAATAGTGTAAGTTGACACATTCTATGAAGTTCAGGTGACTTTAGTTCCCTTAACAACTGTTTATTGTGAACAATTCATCGATAAAATAGTTTACAGCACTGAACAGACACATTTTATGAAGTTCAAGAGACATTACTGTCCCAAGAAGTGTTCATTGTGAACAATGCATCGATAAAATTGTTCACAGAACTATAATTCATCCAAAGCTGAATTTGAAATTTAAAATATACAAATTTTACAGTCAATAGTGTGAGTTAACATATTCTAGCAAGTTCAAGAGACTTTAGTTTCCACAAAAAACTGTTCATTGTGAACAATTCATCCATAACATTGTTCGCAGAACTGTAATTCATCTAAAGGTAAATTTGAAATTCAAAATATATCAATTTTACAGCCAATAGTGTAAGTTGACACATTCTATGAAGTTCAGGAGACTTTAGTTCCCTTAACAACTGTTTATTGTGAACAATTCATCGATAAAATAGTTTACAGAACTGAACAGACACATTTTATGAAGTTCAAGAGACATTACTGTCCCAAGAACTGTTCATTGTGAACAATGCATCGATAAAATTGTTCACAGAACTATAATTCATCCAAAGCTGAATTTGAAATTTAAAATATACAAATTTTACAGTCAATAGTGTGAGTTAACATATTCTAGCAAGTTCAAGAGACTTTAGTTCCACAAAAAACTGTTCATTGTGAACAATTCATCCATAACATTGTTCGCAGAACTGTAATTCATCTAATGGTAAATTTGAAATTCAAAATATATCAATTTTACAGCCAATAGTGTAAGTTGACACATTCTATGAAGTTCAGGTACTTTAGTTCCCTTAACAACTGTTTATTGTGAACAATTCATCGATAAAATAGTTTACAGAACTGAACAGACACATTTTATGAAGTTCAAGAGACATTACTGTCCCAAGAACTGTTCATTGTGAACAATGCATCGATAAAATTGTTCACATAACTATAATTCATCCAAAGCTGAATTTGAAATTTAAAATATACAAATTTTACAGTCAATAGCGTGAGTTAACATATTCTAGCAAGCTCAAAGACTTTAGTTCCACAAAAAAACTTTTCATTGTGAACAATTCATCCATAACATTGTTCGCAGAACTGTAATTCATCTAAAGGTAAATTTGAAATTAAAATATATCAATTTTACAGCCAATAGTGTAAGTTGACACATTCTATGAAGTTCAGGTGACTTTAGTTCCCTTAACAACTGTTTATTGTGAACCATTTATCGATAAAATAGTTTACAGAACTGAACAGGCACATTTTATGAAGTTCAAGAGACAACAAAACTGTTCATTGTGAACAATGCATCGATAAAATTGTTCACATAACTATAATTCAAGTTCAAGAGACTTTAGTTCCCCAAAAAAACTGTTCATTGTGAACACTTCATCCATAATATTATTTGCAGAACTCTAATTAATTTTAATGTGAATTTGAAATTTAAAATTAATAAAATTTGCAGTTAATATTTTAGGTCCAGACAGTTTATGAAGAGACATTACTGTCCCAAGAACTGTTCATTGTAAACAATGCATCGCTAAAGTTGTTCACAGAACTGTAATTCATCTAAAACTGAATTTAAAATTTAAAATATATTGGCTAGCGACTTTAGTTTCCCAAAGAACTATTCACTGTGAACAATTCATCAATAAAATTGTTCACATAACTGTAATTCATCTAAAGGAAAAGTTGAAATTTATTTTTTAGGTATATAAATTTTACAGTCAATATTGCAAGTTGACTCATTCTATGAAATTCAAGATAATTTAGTTCTCTAAAGAACTGTTTATTATGAACAATTCATGTATAAAATTATTCACAGAACTGTATACATATACAAGTTGCGTTCAAAATGTATCTAGTACTTACTGTAGGTGAACTGGTACTACCACAAGTTGCTAATAGTTGAGGTTTGACATAATTCGGACTGTCTCTTAGATGGGGAGCTGTAGGTACTGAGGATGGGCTTCCTGATGAGCTAATTATAATAAAAAAAGACCATTAAAACTACTATTTTATGCAACTGAAGTTTAAATTTGTGAAAATCAATAAAAGAAACAGAAAAGTTGAGCACGTCTGTTAATTATTGATAGCTTTGGTGGGTTATTTATATATATCTGGTAAATTTCTTCCAGTCAATAAATCCAGTTCTGGGTATTACTGAAGATTTATTTTTTCTGAGGGTTTACGAGAGTTGGAAAGTCCAATTTTTGTTCAGGTTCAATTAGTGAATTGGATTTATGAGGTTTATATATTTCATAATGGAATATAAGATAAAAGGTTCGCTTAGAGGGTAGTGGTATTAGCTTACCTGGTGCTGGTATTGTTATTACTGGAAACCGAAACTGGTGTCGGAGATGACTTAGTTATCAGATTGGTAGTGGTTTTGTTCTTTATTCGGGTGCTCTTATCTACGCTTTGTTGTTGGTTGTGTTGTTTCTGTTGTTGGCGACATTTCGCCCGCCTGTTCTTAAACCAGACCTAAAAATATAGACAGATAAGTACGAGGGTAAGGTGAAAAGTGAAAAGATGGAAGAAAAGACGGTCTATAAAGGTTAAAAATGTATTCATTGTATTTTCATAACAAAATTTAACTTTAGACAAAACATTTTGCTTAGTGCTAATGTCAATATTTATATAAAATTAATAATTGTAAAGATTTTTTTTCTTTTCTTCTTGAACTTTTTCTTGATTATTTAAAAATTTTTTCGTTTTATTGCCTTTTCTCTTCTTGTCTTCATATGCAGGTTTTAATACCATTAAATTTTATTAATTTAATTAAAACCTAGCGCCCAAAATCCTTCAGTCCGCTTCTGTCTCAAAACGCCCTTAGGAGCTACCGACTTCGCTATTCCAAACACGAGGGTGTCAATGTAACCAGAGCATCACAATAGCCGTGGGCGAAACAATTGCGAAACGTGCCGTTGCATCCTCTCAGAAGGCTAATAAGTTAACGATCCGGCATTCAAGTGAGCAGGACAGAATGGATCACCTTCTTGTTTCTTCTATTCCTACTCTGATTTATTATTGTGCCGTACATTTTGTTCTGAATCGGTATAGAGTAGGTATTTAGCGTTATATTGTTGCCACACGTTTATGTTTTGTATAGATAATGATGTAGAGCCTTCCTTTTGTTAATGATTTACTGCATTGACTGGACAAGTAATTATTGATACTGTGGAGGTTCGATAAATACAAAAATTTTGAAGAAGTGGCGATTCATTTTTCAACAGTCTCCTTTTAACCCGATACCTATACTTAAAACACAACGATGCTCAAAGTTCATTAATCGCCTTCTCATTCAACTTAAATTTCTGACTTGCGAATGACTTTTTCACAGCTGGAAGCACAAAGAAGTCGCAGGGTGCCAAATCTGGAGAATGCGGTGGATAGAGAAGAATTCAGAGTCGAATCTCTCCATTAATGCCTTCTGTTCGTCATTAATATTAATATTAATATTAATATTAATATTAATATTAATATTAATATTAATATTAATATTAATATTAATATTAATATTAATATTAATATTAATATTAATATTATTATTAATATTAATATTAATATTAATATTAATATTAATATTAATATTAATATTAATATTAATATTAATATTAATATTAATATTAATATTAATATTAATATTAATATTGATAATAAATAAACACCCCAGGAACGCCTATGATGATACAAACTTTACGACCGTTTTATGACTTTGAGGCACATTTTGTGCTATCAACAATTTGTGAACGGAATATAGAATACAGAAAATTGATAAATATTGAAAAGACTCTAATGTATTTGTTTTTAAAATCCCATACAGTTAAGTATATAAAAGTTAATTACAAAAAAATAAGTATTAAAGCCACCAAATTTGTATTAATATATAAAAAAAAGTTTCCTTAATTTTCTAGCAGTCAGGTAATTTTCTATTTAAAAGAAAATCAATAGGGTCTTTCCGCTTGATTAGCTCCGGCGTAAAAGGAAGCCTTATGCGTGTGGAAAATGAGAACAAAGAACATATCATGTAAAGTATACAATCTCTGGTATTGATTTTGCCTGTATTCCTGTATGTATTCTTACCTACTTCTCGTTATTTGTACGGGTTTGTAGATAGTTGACAAAATGTAGATAGTTACTTCAATTTTGAGAAACTATAACAAATATTCGTGATTGCAAATGTCTACACAAAGTAATAATAATTATTATGAATATAAAAAAATGAAGGCAGAGGAGCGAGTTCCTATTATGTACAAAAAAACAATTAAAGACCTTGGTGCAAGAATCAAAGAACCGGGCAACCGAAATTAAGTTTTTGCATTCAACATACAAAATTTTAGGTTGTGCATATATTAGGGCAAATTGACGCAAATGGCTATGGCCTTATTTCTTTTTGTTGAATTCCAATATGAACGGCTCGATTGATCATAACTACGTTAGGTATTACGTGACTTTTTGATATAATTCGTTACATTTTGACACACTACATAACTTTTCCACATAAAAATCGGACATTTTTCGTGAAATATAACTTTTTACGTGACGTTTTGACATAAAATTGATGATTTTTTGTATCATACTTATTCTTTAAACAAATCGTAACATTTTGACGTAATAAGTAACGTTTCGTGTAAAAAGTGTGTTGTGAAACATGGCGAATTATGTCAAAGCATCACATATTATGCCAAAACCTCACGTATTCATCATTCAGTCAAGAATTATGTCAAATGTCATATAAAACGTCATGGATTGTGATCGCAAATCTATACACAATGTTTTATATTGTGCTTCGTATTTATTTATTATATACACATAAAAAGGGCAATTTTTGTGAAGACAATGGCATCATTTCTTTTGTTACAGTCACCGCTAAGGTACATTCTTGTCAATTATTTATCTTTTCACCTCGATTGCACATCTACGTGTCGTTTTGTCATTATACGTGACGTTTTGACATATGACGCGATATTTGACGTAAGGCGTGACGTTTTGACATAATACTTGACGTTTTACGTGATTTTTCGGTTATATTTTGACGTAAAACGTAACTTCTTCACATAAAAATAAGACATTTGTCGTAAGACCTGACATTTTACGTGACAATTTGACATAAAACGGAACATTTGATGTAAGGCGTGACGTTTTGACATAATACTTGACGTTTTACGTGATTTTTGGTTACATTTTGACCTAAAACGTAACTTTTTCAAATAAAAATAAGAAGTTTGTGGTAAGACCTGACATTTTACTTGATGTTTTGGCACAATTGGTGATTTTTTTACGGTATACGTAATATTTAGAAAATTTGTAATGTTTTTACATAATACGTGACGTTTTGTGTTAAAAGGTTATCTGAAACGTCAGAAATTACGTCTAATGTCACGTTTTTGTGTCAGAGCGTGACGTATTATATCTAAACATCACTTATTATGGTAAATGATATGTAAAATGTCATGTATTATGTCAAAACGTCAATTATTATGTCAAATGTCATATAAAATGTCACGGAGTATGTCACCTATGCTTTTTTTCAAGTGTGCATAGGAGAATAAACAATTTTTTCTTACCTGTACTCTAGACTCGGGTAAATTAATTTTCAAGGCCACTTCTTCTCTCATGAATATATCAGGGTACCGAGTTTTTCCAAATAGAGACTCTAATATATCTAACTGAGCTCTGGTAAACGTGGTTCGTTCCCGTCTCTGTTTCCTTTGGTTACCTAAAAAAATAGATTATTTACTATGTGTTTCAAAAAATGAGCAAATGATTACAGCTGAAAATAAAATAATCGAAAGATGGGCTGAATACTTTGAAAGTCTTCTAAATGTCCAGGTAGACGCGGATGGAAATAAAGCAAATTGTGAATACCAAACGGCCGAGATAGAAGTACCCCCGCCAAGCCTGGAAGAAATTATCACGGCGATAGAAACCCTAAAAAATGACAAATCCCCGGGACTAGACAATATTGATGCAGAACTGATTAAAAAGAGGGCATGAACTTAGAACTAAAATACACCAATTAATGAAAGAAGCCTGGGAACAAGAAATAATGCCAAAATAATGGAGTGGCTGTATTATCGTGCCAATACATAAAAAAGGCAGAAAGGATACATGTGGCAACTAAAGGGGAATCTCACTAATCGGTACTACATATCAGATATTAGCTTCAGTTGTACTAAAACGATTACTGCCATATACAGAGGAAATTATTGGCGATTCCCAATGCGGCTTTAGGCCTAGAAGATCAACAATCGACCAAATATTTACTATCAGACAAATGCTAGAAAAGTATTGGAATATAATAAAGAAGTATACCAGATCTTCATAGATTTCAAACAAGCATATGATTAATAGAAATCTATTAGTATGGGAACGCAAAATCCTGCGAATTATATATGGTCCTTGCAGGGACAGCGTGACAAATGAATGGAGGAGCAGATACAACAATGACATAGAGACTCTCTTCGGGAAAGGAAACATCGTAAGATACATAAAAGCCAATAGATTAAGATGGGCAGGCCACGTGGTACGGAGTGATGACGACAGACTGATTAGCAATGTGTTTTGGGAAAGACCAGATGGTAAAAGGTCGACAGGAAGGCCTAGAAAAAGGTGGAAAGACGCAGTCAGGGAAGACCTGGAGAAGATGGAAGTAAGGCCATGGGAAATAATAGCACAGGATCGGAATCAATGGAAGGCAATAGTAAACGCGGCAAAAACTCACGAAGAGTTGTAAAAGCCAATGATGACGATATTTCAAAAATCCGTTAACGTGATATTTTTTGCACCACTGGTGCCTTCAGAAATGTTGTAAACTTTATTGATGGGTTTAATTTTATGGTACAGAAAATGTTTGAATTATGATCTTTACAATGATCAATTTGTCAAAGTTCATAACTGAAACATTTTCTGTTACATATTTAGTTTTGCAGATAAACAGCTTTATTTTTGGATACTGAAAAATAGCCAATTTGGAATGTGTACCTTTTTCAACTAACCGATTCAATTGTTTGAAGTTTTCTTGTCTCGAATGTTGCATCAATTTTAATACATAAACTAATAATGTGTTCAAGTATATAAAAGAAGCGTCCAAAACAATGAATCATGTCAAAGCAAGATGAAATAAACGGTGAAGTTTAAGATTGTAAGATAAACATAGCTGTTATAATTGAAAGGAAAAAAAACTTCGTGGGATCAAAAATTTTGAGCAATAGTACATTGTTTACCGGGTAGGAAAAGCTTAACATTCCTGGACAACTGTGAAGATTGCTAAGTCGAGGCGCAAGCCGAGACTTAGCAACACAGAGTCCAGGAATGTGGCTTTTCCTACGAGGTAAACATACTATTTTTCCGCAAATCGTTTAAAATTCGACAGATATTGATTGATTTAAAAAAAAAACGCGATAATTTTATTCCCAAATAAATGGTGCTTTGAAATTCCTAATAATATTACTTGGGTTACTATGGAAACGTATTGAGGTTGAATTGTCAAACTTGACGCTTATAAATTTAATTTATGTAGAACACTAACAACTGTACGGAAATATCATTTCCTTACAGTAAGGAAATGACATTTCCTTACAGTAAGGAAGTCCTGACTTTTTCTTCAAGAAACTTTGACAGGAATGTCAAAATTTCCTGGCGATTTGCGGAAAATATTATATATTTTATTTCAATCAGAAATTTATAACAATTTTTTTTATTACTTGAATATAAATTCTATTAAATAATACATGTATTCTCATTACGCTGAGTTATTTTTTATTAAATATTTGTAATTAATTTATAAATATATGTTTATTTTAATGATAAATACTAACGATAAAAAATTATTTAATTAAATCTAAAATATATGGCATTTTCGTGGAAATTTATTAATTTGGACAATTCAAACATGTGCTGGGATTACAGTTTTAAAACATTTACGGTTCGTGGTGATAAAATTGTATTAAAAGTATCATTTCATATAGTCCAGCAAAATATAAATTAAACATATTTTGTTTTAATACTTGTAATAGGAAAAATTCTTCTATATAATAATTTAATTTTATCTGACTCATTCAAATCGACACTGCAGATATATGTAACAATAAAACACTGAAAACTTTGTTTTCAAATTTCCACAAAATTTATTTTAACTATTATCACTACAGCTGTTTCGGCTGATTGCCTTTCTCAAGTGATCTATTTTTGGCATGCGTTTACAATTTATAGTCTCTAATGAAATAGGTTGAGGAGGGGAGAACTGTTTGTCTCAAGTTGGTCATTCAGAATTATATCTGTGTTTTTTAATTTGTTGATTTCCATAGATTCTAACAAAGATAGCTTAAGCCTTTATTTTGAATGTGAAGAATTTTAAATTTGTCATTAAAAGAATGATTTGATCTAGAAGGTGAAGTGCGTATGTCGAATCTGTTTTTTTATTCTTGAAAGCCCTTTTATGTTCTGCTATTCGTTTATCAAAGTTTCTACCAGTTTGACCGATGTAAGTTTTTGGGCAGTCGCCACATTGAAGTTTGTACACACCACTATTTAAGTGTTTTTTATTTTGGCTCTTGTTATTTTTAATATATTTGCCTAGGTTGTTATTTGTTCGGAAAGCTGGTGTTATTCCTTTCTTTTTTATGTGTTTGGCAATTTTTGTTGTTATTTTGCCTGTATATGTAATCGAGCAGAAGGTACTGGGTTTTTTCTCTGGTGGTGGAAATACTAATTTCAGGGCTTTCTTGTGTAGTTTTTGATTTAACATTTTATTAATTGTTTGTTCGTTGTATCCGTTGTTTACTGCTATTTGCTTAATTATATTTAATTCTGTCTCAAAGTTGTATTTTGACATTGGAATTTCTGTTAATCTATGTAACATACTATGATAAGCTGCCAGTTTATGTTGTGTTGGATGGGATGATGAATTGTGTATAGTCGTGTCAGTATGGGTAGGTTTATGAAATATGGAGAAGTCATGTTTGTTTTTAAGTCTGATAATCTTTATATCTAAAAAATTTATGGATTGATTTTGTTCTGTTTCTATTGTAAATTCAATATGACTATGAAGTGAATTAATATACGATAAAAATTGGTCGAGTTGCCTGTTAGTTCCTGTAAAACATACCAGTACGTCGTCTACGTATCTCCACCAATATAGAAATTGTTTGAATACGGGATGTTTTGAAATCTTTGTCTCTAGATGGTCCATAAAAATATCTGATAGTAATGGGCTTAGAGGATTGCCCATTATAAGTCCTGCACTGTTATTTGTATATATTTGATCATTAAATTCAAAGTAGTCCTGGTTTATGCAAACTTCAAGAAGATGTAAAATTTCAGATGTAATTATTGGATTTGTACTATTTTGGTCTAAAAGGTTTTTCACTAGAATAAAAGTTTCTGTAGGAGGGATACTAGGAAAAAGATTTTTTACGTCAAATGAAATTAATCTGGAGTTGTTAGATAATTGAAAATGTTGTATTTTATTAACTAGTTCTATTGTATTTTTTATGGTAAATTTAGGTGAAAATTTAGTGTGTTCTAAAATAATCTCTAGCAGTTTTTTTGAAAGTTTATATGATGGAGCTGTATAAAAAGAAACTACAGGTCTTATTGGGTGATCCGGTTTGTGTAGTTTAATGAAAGAGTATAATTTAGGAGGCTGTGGGTTCATGATATTAAGGTATTTCTGTTCTATTGGATTTACTATTAATTTTGAATTTTCTAACGCTAGCTAAATTTGTTTTTGATATTTTTCTGTCGGATCTTTGTGTACAGTTTCAATATTTTGATTATTTAAGAATTCTATTGTTTTGTTATTATATTCTATTTTATCTATAGCAATAGTAGTGTTGCCTTTGTCTGCTTTTGTAAACACAATGCTGTTTTCTATTGATTTATTTTTAATTGAAATTACTGTTTTAGTCTCTTTGTAATAGGAATTCTTAGTTTTACTACACACATCTGTAATATATTTAGCAATTATACTTTTTTCGATATTGTTAGCAGTTTTGTTTAACGCTACTTCACATTCTACACCTAAATATTACTGCAGATATATTAAACATTTTCAAGTAGATGACTGAGATGAGAAGTAGATGAGATCATTTAAAATGATATTGCCAATAATGCTGAGTTGCGCTCCTGGGATGACTTTATTGTAAGATAGTTGATTTGATTACATGAAATCAACTTGAAAACGTCCAAAAAAAAATCGAAGCATATAATTCGTCTTTAAAAAGACAACCACATGCGATGATGACAGTAAAATTCTCCTGTTAGTAATTCCATAGTAAATCATGAGGAAAAACCTGGAAAAAAACATTATAAGACTATCGCCTTATGGTCTCATTTAATTTGGTTTTTTCCTCACGACATCCAAAGTATTGTTCAGTTTTCACAAGATAACCAATTGGAGGTTTTAGATACAGCTGCTGAATTGTCACGCAGGGAAATATTTTAGTAAAGCGTAGCGTTGGAAGGCGACGAATGTCATGGTTAAGCAATCCCAAAGAGTGGTTTAATTACTCATCTAACTAGCTTTGTAGAGCAGCAGTGAACAGAGATCAAATAGTTCGAAAAAAGACGCTATCTTAAGAAGAAGCTGAATTGCCAGAATGGAACTTAATGAAATGAAACGAATCAGGGATCACTACTGCCTTACGATAGTTGTTTTTCTTTATAATTATTAGCTCTTTAGTGCTATCATCATTGGAAATCATCATATATTCAATT